CATAATCATCCACATATATTCATCAATATGAATAAAATTTAAAGACATGTCTTAGTCAAATTTTGAATCATATGAGCTATTTGAGATTAGCAATTTTCAACATTTGAATTTTGCTAATTTCAAATTTTTGGATAACCATTTAATTCTATATATGGAAACTTTGTTCATATATGGTAAGTACTATTAATCAAAATAGTAATTTATCCAATCGTAATCTTATTAGGATTAGAATTAAATTTTATTACTAATTAAAGCATTTTTTGTTAGTTGTCCTAAACAGTTTAGGTAACTTTTTTACTAATCCAATTTAATTAAAGATTGCATGTCTTCTATTACCTAATCTTCATTAGGTAATTTAGATCAAATCTAAGACAAGAAATCTTGAATGTAATCTTAGTATCTTATTCAAACTTCCTTCCTTAATCAAAGGAAAAGTATTCATGATGAACGACTTACATTCATTTATTTTTGACTTCTATAATTCTAGGAATCAAATTTCTTAATTTTTGATATCACAAAAAAATTTTAGATATCTTTAATTGAAATTCCTTAATTCAAAATATCTGAATTTATTATCTTTATGGAACTATTTTCATAACTATCCAATCAAGTTTTGAATATTATTAACTACCATAACTTTAGAAATCAAATTCCATGATTTATAGGTGTCTTAAATTAAATCCTAACATCCTTTAGTTAAGAAATCAAACTCCTTAATTATAATTATATCAAAATTATCTTTTATGGAACCTTTCCATCAATATTAAAATGGCCAATTTGCAACTTAAATTGCAGCAATTAAGGTTGCAAGTTAGGCAAGTAATCAATGCAAAAATAGTGGCATTAGTCAACTATAGGCAATATTGGTGCAGTAACAATTTTCGGTTTTTAAGGGGCCATAAATTTAGGAATTTTAATTCCAAAATTTCTTTTGGTTATCCAACATATGGAACAATTCCATATTGAATTTGCATGATTTTTGAATGCAAATTGATTGGTCAAATCACCTCAAAACAGTGACTTTTTGCTACTGCTGGCAGTAATGGTGCAGTTATAATTCTACACTTTAAAGCGGCACCAAATTAAGGAATTTAATCCCTAACTTTTTTCAGGGTCAACTAGCATATGGAGCCTTTCCATATTAATTTTTCATAATTTTTGGAAGTAGATAAGTTGCCCAACAAATTCAAAAACCGTGACCTATGTCTGTTGGACTGAGTCACGCTTTAAACTGCTTAGGTGGCATTGAGAATGCCAAAATCCTAGGGAACAAATCCCTTGATTTTTGAACTTCAAATTTTGGAAATCTTTGAAACCTTTCAAAATTTAGAATTTCAGCAAATAAGTGCAACTAATTGCACAAATTTAGTCTCTTTTTATGTTGCTAGAATTTGTCAAAATTGTGGCTTGAAACAGCTGCTGGAAGTAGCGGTTTTAGCCATGATTTTGTGGCTATTGCATCACCATTCCCCTTTGGCCTAGAATCCCACTTTGAACTATTACAAAGTACATTGCTTCCATGATTTTTCTAGAATTTTTCAAGGCCATTAGATGCCTTCTTAATATTGAAAACTAAACCACGGCAATTGCAAAACATAATCGAATTGTTTCCTTTAAATTGCACCAAAACATCTTGAACTTGAATATGATTTTACAAATTTAATTTGTGCATTTTATGCACTTCTTAATCTAGCAAATCAAGACACCAAAACGCATATCAGTATATCCAAAATTAAGATTTAAATTCACTAATTAAATCTTTCCAGAAAATTGAAACAACTACAAAACAGTTCTAAAAAAAAATTTAAATCCTTACCAACTTAAACCTGAACACCTAATATCAAATATAAACATTGAATCAACAACAATGAGACATAATTTGTATTATAACAAGCCAAGGGAGGCTCTGATACCACTATTGAGATAGCCTGAAACTTAGAGATAACAATTATCATACGCAGCAAAAAATAAAAATTTAAATGTACTATGCCATGCCGCTTCCCATGGATGACCTTGGTAGTTTTATTACAAACAAAACTAAAAGAAAAGTAATCAAAAAAATAACATTACCTTTACAAAGTGATGTGGCTATCATGATAGTACCTCTTCCTTGTCCAACCCATGAACACTACGAAGGAAGCAAAAAACCTGAGCCATTCAAATGCTTGGCCTCCAACGGTTGCACACATGGTTGCACTTGTACCTTCACAAGGAGGAAACTTTCTCAACTATGCATTTGCACTAGCAAGGTGGACAACAACATGTTTTCTTCGCACAATCACACACTCTTAGTCAAATCACAAAGTGCAAAAACTATTTTCAAGTCACTCAAGAAAGTGTGCAACTAGGCTTTCTGGTTAGTTTTTTGACAACTCAACAGCCTAACCTGTGTGTTTCACTTCTATTATGAGGAATTGTTGAAAAATGATATTTATATCGACGTTAATTAACTTCTTAAATTTCAAATAAGGCCTCGATATTATGATCCCTTATAATATTGGGCCAACACTTAATTAAACCTTTTTAATTAAGTCATTGTCACTTAAAATTAAATTAAATTTACTTTATTTGTTTCCAATTAAGGCTTTAATATTATAACTAAATATAATATTGGCCTTATACTTAATTAAACTATTTTAATTAAGTCCTTGGAAGTTAAAAGATTAGTGTATGATTTAAGTCTAACGTAAATCACCACATTCGTAATTTAATTCATAATCCAACTTATTGTGTGTGACCCATTAGGTTCCTAATATGTTGACAATAGAATTGAATTATAATTTTATTCAATTAATTAATTCAATTTCACTGACCAAAATTGACATCTAGTAATGCATCATGACTACCCAATTGTTAAAAAAGTTAAAGGGTTCTTTGACAACTTTTTAGTGTACAGTTTAGTAGTGTAATTCATTCCTGCATCATATAACCAAGAAATGATAAGAGCATGGTGCAATGTCTACCCATATTGATTTTCACATTTGTTCTTGAAGTTAGATCATTAGTTCTATAAAGACTTATGAAACTCTTTTTCATAATCTCCAAGTCGTCTTAGCCAAAAACTTCAGCAAGCTAATATCAATCAAGAATTGTTAGGATATGTCCTCTAAATCACTTGGGGTGATGATTCCTTTCTTGACCACTATAACACCCTGTATTCTCGAATAGGAGTCAATAAGACCCAATCGATAAGACAAAGGGTCAATTGATGAAAATCTAAGTGCCAAAGAGAGGTAAGTGGTTAAAAGAATATTTTGAAATAAAATATTTTGTACGTGAAAAAATAATAATTAAATAATAATATTTTAACAAGAATGAATTAATAGGTTAAAAGGTGATTTGGAAGTGAATCAGGGCAAAGGGAGACATTTTGGGACCCGAGGAGACAAGTAGAGAATTTTGTAATAAAATAATATTAAAATATTAATATTTTAATTATTGTTGAGATTAGTCGTAGAGAAGGATTATATGACTAATCTAAGTGAGGGAGACGAAGTAAGAAAGAATTTTGAAGAAAAGCGACGTTAGTAAGGCCCGTGTGCCTTTATTAAATGGAGCACGAGCGGGTAAATATATATTTAAATTTTATGGTGATACCTTGATGAGGTACAAACCTTATGTTATATTTGTAAACATGTAAAGGAAGGAAAATAGAAGGAAATTGGAATTTAAGAAGTGTTTAGAGGGTCACACGGTAAATAAAGAAAAGTTTGAGGACTTGATTGTAATTTCAATATTTAAAGTTAAATGGGAATTTATTAACCAAGGAAAGTTACATTATGTGGAGTATGAGATGTACATATGAAACTCACTATTACATGCAAAATATTATATGCAGAAAAAAAAAAGAGAAGTTAGTGGGGAACATGTGAGACCCATACCATGTGAAGTAAAAGAAAACATAAGATTAAAATTTATTTGCATGTAATGTGATAGGTACATTTGATAGTCAAATGAAGAAAGAAGAAAGTGGGTTGCATGTAACTTGAGTGAGTCCAAGAGTGGCTAAATAAAATATAAAGAAAGCTTATGCATGAAATATGATTGGAAGAAATAGGTGGCAAATGAAATAAAAAAAAAGTAAGAAAATAAGGTGGCGAATGGAAGACAATTAGGATAGATTTTGGACCAATGAGCAAAAGAGACAATTTCTGCATGAAACGTGAGTGGGGAGTGAGTTGGTCCAATGGGAATAAGGAACAAATAGAGAAATGAAAAGAGAAAGAATGGAATAAAGAAATCAAGAAAATAAAAATGAAAAATGATGAAAAGACAAGGTGGCAAGTGGAAAGGTTGCCAAGGCTTTTTGCCTTGTTCTTTTACCACATAAAAGAAAAGGAAACATGCCAAAAAGACATGAAGCTTTCGGTAATCTACGCAAGAAAGAAAGCAAAGAGAAAAAAGAAAGACAATAATATAAAAAGCAAGTAACCTTGGGCAATCCGCCCATGTGTGTACAAAATGGGGAAACCAAAGTTATTTTCAAGGCTTTAGCCTTGAGGGGTCCAACCATAACAAAGTGAGAAGAGAAAGGGAGAAAGAAAGAAAGGAAAAAGGGAGGAAAAAAAGAAAAAAGAAAGGAAGGATCGGCTTAGTGAACCCGAGACAAGGAAGGTAACGGGATTTTCATTTTTGATTGAAATGCATCTTTGTAAATTAATTGTAATGTGTGATTTTGTTTGTCGTAGCAAGAATCTACAAGGATTCAAGGGACCCAAGGCATGCATGTAGGTAGATCTTGGTAAGCATGGTGATTTTGTAGCTAAATAAGCAATGGGTAAGTGTTTTAGTCTTGAAATCATAAGTAGAAAGAAAAAATGAGATGTATATTGATTGACTATGTTTGTGGCAGCAAAGGTGACCTTAGATGTGAGGAAGTTGTGAATCATTTTTGGAAATTCAAGTTTAAACCGAGAGGTAAGCATGCAAAGTGACTATATTGTGTTGCATAAGCTTTAGTTGGTTAAAGTGTATGGATTGCATGATAAATGTTTGTGAGTAATGATGGTAAAAACTATGAGATTTAGTTAAGGATTATTGGTTGATATACTACCATTTGTGAGTACAACTAAATGTATTGGGTTTGAATGGTTGCTAGGGAGAAAATAAGTTAAAAAAGTTTGCTGTGGTGGCGTGTCGGAGGAGGCAACAAGAGATCAACAAGTAGAAATTAGCTAGATACGCACTTCAATTAATAGTGACGTAGCGTCCTGCTATTGTGAGGTGAGTAGAAGGTATCTATTTTAAAAATTCCTATAACTATGTAAATATATATATATTTATACATGTTGATTTATTTTAAATTCAAAATTTATAGAAAGCATAAGCTAGTAAAAATGCTAGGAAATTTATGGATGGTGTGACTTTGAAAATGGCTTTGAATATATATGTATAAGCTATTTATATTTAAAGGGTTTTTAAAATTGAGAAACAAGTTTTTAATATAATTTATGTCAAGAATGTGCCTTATAGTTTGTGTGATGTGCATTCATGACTGAAACACATATCCACCATGCAGATTGAACTTTTAACCTCATGCAAAGGTTTTATGATATAAAGTCTTATAAGGGATTTTATTATGTTACCATGTTGAATATTTCAAAAATGATTTTGAAATGAGCTTTTCAGAACCTAAACTGATTTTTAAATGGTTTTATCAAACTGAGAGATTCAAGAGTAAGTTAGTTGTTAAATGATTTTGACGGCAGAGATCCTTACATGAATTGGTTTGATATCTGATTGAAATGAGTATCTTGCATTAACTTTCTGGTTTTACATATAAGACATCAATTTCCCTTTTGAGCTAAATTGTTTACATGTATTCTTATATTTTTAAAATTCAAATCTTCTGCCTTTAGCTTGTTTTCCATCTATGCCCTACTCACCGAGTTTATGATTATTGAGTCTGTGAGACTCACCCCCTTATTTCCTTTTGCAGATAAGTAATCGATTCAAGTGCATTGCTCAACACATAGAGACTAGTTGCAACGTAAGTAATGGCATCTCTTAGACTTCCACTTAGAGTCGCTTTGCTACCTAGAGATCGTGTTGTGTCAAATAGTTAGACTTATAATGATTAATAGCTTATTAGAAATGTATTTGCTAAAACTTGATGTTGTGTAATGATTAGCACTTATTATATTGAAATTACTATAGAGTTATTAAATATGGTTATTGGTATCTGAAATTACTATTGTGTTTATTTGGTTTAAGTAAATGATAGCATTGATGTTGCAAGTCGATTATAAATTATCTGGAATCTCAACTAAGGCTTGTTTGAGATTTGACAATTCACTCGTAAGTCTCAGACGTCGATAGCGATCGGGGGAAGAGGTCGTTACAAGCACTCATTTACCTTCACATGCTTCATGTTACACTTGAAAGCATCTTATTTTTGCATCCTTGGTTAAGTACCCGTAGGGATGAAGCATAGCACTCCACATATAAGACAACCTAATGTTTCTAGTATAAAGAGTATTTACACGACTGACACATGGGAAGTATTGTATAGACACTTGAGTGAAATACCAAATACACTTCTCATGGTAGGTCATGTTCAGTGAACTTGCTTTCTTAGGCAAACACCTACATTTTAGTTCCATGTATCTTTGTACTTTAACCTATTATATTGATTTCTTACTTCCCAAGTAAGAAACATAGAATGTACTAGTGTTTAGGTATCATTGATGTCTAGTTTTAAAGATACATTGACCAAGAACATTTAGAGTATATGCTTTGATGCATAGGGATTTGATAACTATAATCCATTACATATCCCTTACAAGGCATATTAATCTCATGGACTTCATCTAATTAGACTTATAACCCATTATAATTAACATCTTATTGATGAAGGAAAACCTATAATCATTCAACATGAATGATATTATTATGCGATTGGAATCAAGCTTTAACTAATCCCAATTTGCTACAGTTCTTATCCCAACAGTTTGGACTCACTAATGCAGTCGCAGCATTTATGGAGTTAATGGATTTGTGGTTGTGTTCATAGACGCCATACTGGTGTATTCTAAAAGCTTAGAGGAACATGCACAGTATTTGATAATCATGCTTCATACCTTGAAAGAACACCAGCTTCATGCTAAGTTTTCAAAGTGTGAATCTTGACTAAATCAAGTCAATTTCTTGGGACACATTATGTTTAAACAATGGGCACAAGTTGATCCTAATAAGCTAAAAGCTATGGAGAATTGGCCAAGGCCAATGTCTATAATAGAAGTTAGAATTTTTGGGTTTAGGCAAATATCACAAATGCTTTGTAGAAGACTTATCTAAGATCGCATCCCTTTTTGACAAAATTGACTTAGAAAAGAGTTAAATTTGATTGCTTTGATGCATGTAATACTAGTTTCCAGAGGCTTAAGGCCTATTTCACTTTTATGCCATTATTAAGCCTGTCGTGTGGATCCAAAGGCTAAACTGTGTATTGCGATCCATCACGGATTGGATTGGGTTATGTGTTGATTCAACATAGGAAAGTCACAGCATACGCCTCCCAACAACTCAAGAGACATGAACAAAACTACCTTATGCACGACCTAGGAATGGCAACAATTGTGTTTGCTTTAAAAAATATTACACCATTATCTCTATGGTGAAACCTACAAAATATATACCGATCACAATAGCTTGAAGTATATATTTCAGCAAAGGGATTTGAATTTAATCCAACATAGGTGGTTAGAGTTGTTGAAAGACTATTATTGCACCATACTCGACCATCTCGGCAAAGCAAATGTGGTGGTGAATACCTAAGTTGAAAGTTGATGGGGAGTTTAGCACATGTGACCGTAGATAGATAGTTTTTGGTGTAGAGTTTATATGATCAAGGAATAATGGGCATACATTTTGAGGTTAATAATTCAAATGCCTTATCGGCAAATTTTAGAGTCCAACGAATGACATTAGATCAGATTAAAGATGCTCAGGGATCAAGATGAATATTTAGTGAAAATCTTTGTAGACATGAGAAAAGATAAAGCTTAAGACTTTCTTTATGGCACTAATGGTTGAATGAGATGTCGATCATGAGTTTATGAGCCCAATATGGATGGTTTGAAGAGTGAGATTTTGGAAAAGTCTTATGTGGCAACCTATGCAAGACACCCGAAAGCCACTAAGATGTATCATGGTTTGAAGCTACTTACTGATGGCTAGGATTAAAAAGGGATGTGGCTGAGTATGTCTCTACATGTTTGACTTCTCAATAAGTGAAAGCTAAACATCAAAGAGCTTTAAGACTGCTACAATCATTATCTATACCTGAGTGGAAGCGGTAACATGTAGCTATGGACTTTATGATAGGTTTTCCTTTAGCTAGGGGTGGCTATGATGCCATTTGGTTAATAATTGATCAGCCAACTAATTTAGCTCACTTTTTTCCGATCAAGACTAAGTATGGAGCAGCTCGGTATGCCCAAATTCACATCAATGAATTGTGAGGCTACATGGTGTTTTAGTAATGATAATGTCTAATAGAGGATTGTGTTTCACAAGCCAATTTTGGAGGAAATTGCAAGAGACCTTAGGCACAAGATTAGATTCTAGTATAGCCTTCGACCCTAGATAGATCACCAATCCAAGCACACCATTTAAACGCTTGAGGATATGTTGAGAGCAATTGTACTTGATTTTGGAGTTTCATGGTACTTTTGCTTACGTTTGGTCAAGTTTGCTTATAACAGTAACTATCAAGCCACGATTGGTATGGATCCGTATGAAGCTTTATGTGGGCGAAAATGTAGATTGCCAGTTGGATGGCTTGAAGTTCAGGAACAAAAACTCCTATGATCGGAGATGGTTCAGAAAGCTGAGTGAGGCATCCATGTGATTCAAGAAAGGATGTTAACATCTTAAAGTTGCTAGAAGTCCTAAATCAATAATAGGTGACAACCCCTAGAGTTTGAAGTTGGCAATTATGTGTTTTTGAAAGTTTTACCAACCAAGGTAGTTAAGAGATTTGGGAAGAAAGTGAAATTGAGGCTTAAATACATGGAACCCATTGAGTTGTTAAAGCATATAGGCACAGTTGCTTATCAATTGGCATTACCACCAAATTTGTTCAATGTTCATCCAATTTTTCATGTATTAATGCTAAAGAAATATGTTCACAATCCTTTGTACGTGATACAATATGATGAAGTCCAGTTACAAGATGAACTTATGAAGAATAGCCTATAGCTATATTAGATTGGCAAGTGAAATGGCTTCGATCTAAGGATATTGCTATAGTGAAAGTATTATGGGAAAGCCATTTGGTCGAGGAAGCCACATGGGAACATGAAGAGGAAATGTGAGAGAAATATCCTTATCTTTTTTAGGTTTAAGGTATATTTAAGTTATGGTGTTTGATTTAAAATTCGTGGATGAATTTTCCACAAGGAGGGGAAACTGTAACACCCTTGATTTTTTATCCAAATTAATTCAATTGAAAATTATCTATGAAATGTATTGTGCTTTGAAGACTTTGATGACATGTTAAATATGCCAAGTGTATGGGAGTATCCATATTGGCACTTAGGCAAATTTTTATGAGAACATATGATAAATCCTATAGCTTGAGGTTTTTATTTGAATTTGATGTTATATTTGAGATTATATATGTAAAAAACATGGAAGGTGATGGTTATTGGAATTTTGATATAAGTAAAAAAGTTTTTGGGGTGTTAAATTTGGATTTTTGAAAGTTTGGACAAATAAAAATCTACTTATGGGGGAAAATGTATCAATACATTCTCTAATTATTGATACATTCTTGGCAAGAACAACCATATAAGATGTAAATGGGATTTTCTAGCGATACATTCAATAATGTATTGATAGATTTGAATAAAGATAAACATCTATCGATACGTTGTCCAAATGTATCAATGGATTTGAAATAGAGAGCATCTAGGGGGAAAAGTCTCGATAGATTTTCTCCATGTATTGATACATTTAGGGTAGTGAGTATTCTACCTAATTTCAATTGATTCATTGCCTTATGTATCGATAGATTTGAATGAAACCCATGCAAATGTATCGATACATTCTTAAATAGACCTTTTTGGTTATATGTGTTTGAATTAGAAATCAAAGGTTTGCTCGGGTCTTATAGGTGTCATTTGTTGAGCTCATTCACCACTCATGGACCTCTAGGTTTGGGTTATGACAATACGCTTCACATGAGCAGTACATCCCCAAATCTTGGCAAAAGACTAGTTGGGCCTTTTGCCACTCCATATTTCATATAGTGCTTTGATTTGGTAAGAACTTGGTTCAATATTCGAGCAGTAGTTTTTAAGGCATATCCATAGAAAGATATAAGAATATCTACACAATTCATCATGGATCGAACCATGTCCAACAATGTTCGATTCCTTCTTTTAGAGACCCCATTATGCTATGGAGTCCTTGAAAGAGTCCATTATGTGGAATCCCATTCTCTTTTAGATAATCCTAAAACTCTTGACTAATATATTCTCCACCTCTATCAGATCTAAAAATAAAAATACTCTTCCTAGTTTGTTTCTCAACCTCCGCTCTGTATTCTTTGAACTTTTCAAAGGATTCATATTTATATCTCATCAAATACACATAACCATTGCAATAATGATCATCTGTGAAGGAGATAAAGTAGGAGTATCCTCCTCTAGCACTAGTATTCATAAGATCAATACATCCGAATGTACCTAGCAACACCTCAACTCCTTCACCCTTCTTGGTGAAAGGCAACTTGGTCAACTTACCAAGCAGACAGCACTCACATGTTCCATAAGATGCATAATTAAAAGGATCGATATAACCTTGTTTGTGCAATTTGGCTAAACAAGTCTCATTGATGTGTCCAAGCCTACTATGCAAGATGTAGGATAGTTTCAGATAATCTTTCTTTGTTTTCTTGACTTTTATATTGCGTATGGGTCTATTAGGATCAAGGATCGTTTGAATGTATCCCTGCAGCATAGTGCATTTCTCCCATGGAGAAAGAACAACCATTTCCCTTAATGCTAAATTCAAATTCATCATATAGGGTTAAGTATGACACAGATATGATGTTTCAAGATATGGAAGGGTCTTCAATATCAGTCTCTTAATTCCAAGATCAACCTAAAAGGTAAAGGTATGATAACTGTTTTTATAGCTGATGCAG